TCATAAAACTCAAATGGGTCTTTCGTTTGATTATGAATTTCTGTGTGGTGTTCCTACATCTTCCTCCAATCTAGTCCAGTAGCTGCAGTTCTCGTACATATCCCTGCTGCCTTCTGTCTCCATATCCCAACCCTTGTCCACATACTCCCTGCTTGTTCCATGTATAGCATCACTAGCTCCTTTACGTGGTCCCTAGGTATGATGCCTACCTGAACCATGTTTTCATCTCCTTCTAGGCTCAAATCCCATTTTGTGTGGCTTGCTGGCTGGGCAGGAAGGAGTTTGGTGGCTGGTTTGGTATGTGTGCTGCTTAGCTGAAAGAAAAACTCTGCTGACTGGCCAGCTTGCATTGCACTTCTGCTACTGCCAAGATTGAGCAGAATGAGATCGGGCTGGGCTCATGCTGTTGTTGCTTCAGTGAGAATGCTATTATGGTCTTTCTCCTGAAGGAAATTGCTGCAGAACTTACAGGAACACATATACCTTTCAGATCTCTCCACCTAATGGAAAATTTGGGTGACATTAGGTAACAGGTTCAAAGATATTTTGATTTGGAGAAATGGCACAGATGCACAGAATACAAAGACTAAAAACCAGACACTTGGATTCTCTTTGTTTTGGATTGTGCATTTGAGAGTGTTCTGCAGAGAGTCCGTTTCCCTGTTTTGTATATGTATGTTAATATTTGCATGGATTTTTCATCCAGCTGAGACTAGAAAGGATAACATGGAAATTAGTGTAGTATGTTAAGGTAGAAGAACTCTTGTTTTTAATTACACTGATTGAATTACAAGTTGATTGTTCCCTTTTGAAAATGCTACACCATGACAACTTGACACTAGGAATGAAAAAGCTATATATAATAAGGTTTAAAGTACTGTAATTTTAAGACAAACTCTCATTAAGTGACGGTTTGCCTAAAAGTAGGGAGAAATTCACTGTGAATACTGGCTGTTCACGTAATTTCACTAAAAAGTACAGTTTTTTTACAAGACTATGAAAACTGTATTGATTTGGTGGGAATTTGCTTTCAAATTCCTGATGTGAGATCACGGGTGTGTTATGAAATTTTTAGCACTGAAAGCAACAGGTTAGTATTTCTACCTATCATAAGTGATATTTTTCTTCCCCTTCATCCCCATAACTCTTTAGGAAATATCTACATAAACCAATGCAGTGTTGTGTGGAAGTTCCTGAACTACTTTAAAAAGACCCAGCTCAGGTACTGGCTACACTTTATCAGCAGGGCTGTTTAGTTTTGGTGTAATTAAGTGTCTGTACTTCTTCTAATACCTGCACCATACCACTCAAAGATAACATCGAATTTCTGCATAGCATTGTATTTCACTATATCAATATATCTGGATTAAATAAAAGTAAACATGATTTTCAAAATGGAGGGTAGCAATATATTTGGAAACAGACTTTTAACTTCTAATGATTTTACATTTGTGATTTGTCATGATGTGTAGGGTAAATCCTAAGGATATACGATATGGACTTCGACATGATATTGATCAAAAATTTTGATCAGACAAAGCCTAAAACTCTTATAAATTGCTATAAATGTTGATATACCACTTCTGTTTTTTGAAACAAATTATACTGACTGAAATTAGGAATGATATTCTGAAGATTTGCATCTTCAGAATTAGTCATTGCAGCCCATAGCTGGTATCTTTATTGATCTTATTGGCCTTCATAAGTCTTATTTCTCCACTGATTCAAAGAGCTTGTGCCAGTGGGACACAGTATCTTTAATAAATCTTCTCCCCTCTCACATTGAGAATAAATTGTAGTGCTGAGAATTTCACAGGAGCTAATGCTATGTTATTGCCCATAGTTATTGTGATATTATACAAAGGCTTTCTGCAGACTTTTATCGCACTTGCTGAGACTGGTGTGATAGTTGTCTTAAAGAATTTATTCTTGGCCACAATGGCATATTCTTTAGATTCTTTATCCACAGTCATCAGTATAATTCAAGATCTGGATGTGGTAAACTTATCAGTTCAGCAGAAAATGCACAAGTCCCATCATTTAGTTTGAGATCTTGTCCTCTTTTCCCCATATCTCACTACAGATGCTCAGAGATCAGCTTATACTCAGTATGGCCTGAATCCTCAGCTAAGGAGAATTATGATGTCTTCATCTTTCTCTTCCCAAAATGTTACTCTTCCTTGGCCCTTACTGTAAAGGAATATCACCATCTCTACCCAGTCATTCAGGTCTATAATAAAAGAGTCCATTTTGCCTCTTCCCACTTCACAGACCCTTATTAAGTTCATTTCTGAAAGCTTGCCATTTATTTTTCCTATCATAACAGGAAAAATGGGTTTTTCCAGCTATCTGTCCATGCAAATTCAACTTTCTTCCAAATTCACAGTGGGTTTAAATCTAGTCCACTGACAAGCATTTTTCCGCCTCAATTTCTGTAATTCTACCCTTCTGTTTATTCATTTTGCTGCTCTAACTCTATGAGCTTCCACTTACTTCCTTCAAACTGCTCCTCCTTTGTCTCTGTCAACAACAAGCTTCTTGCTTTTGTCTTCAAAGGCCCTACTAACACTGCCTGTGAACTATCTTAACACATTCTGACATTGCCTTCTTGTCCTACCTTCTGCTACATATCGCCTTCGTTTCTGCTATGGTGTTCCTGGGCCACAGGAGAGATATTCCCTGATGAACGCCAGACAGATTCTCGTCCTTTTTGTATCTCAAGCTAAGATTCTTGCAGCATAAATTCATGTCCCTCTTTTTTCTTTTCTTACCCTGCTCTTCTCTACCTCTACTGCATTCCACATACAGCTGAGAAAATAGTGCTACAGTTCCCTACCAAACTCTTTTGTTTGTAACTTCATTCAACGTAGTCTTCATTTATTTGTTTCTGGGGTTCTGTTTTAATTATTGTACGCTTTGTAGGGCTAGGATTGACTCCATTAATGATTGTGTAGAGCCCAACACAAGGTGGCCTAGTCCTGAAGAAATACTAACATAATGTAAATATTTAGGAGTAAGAGTAGTGATTTAGTTAACAGAAGAGTTGATTTTGCAAAAAATAAACATGTAGTTCACTCACAGAAAATGCCTTGAACATGGTTGCTGCTGTTAAACTATATCATATTCTGAGAATGTGAGATGGACGTGCTGCAGTCAATGTTTTCTGTGAACAAAAACCAGGCATATCTACTAAGCCTGCGCTAACGGAGAATAAGGCACTCTGTGCAATGCCTGAAGATGTCGGTCATTTGCTTAATCAATGTTACATTAAATAATAAACTGAAGACAGATATATATCGTAACTTGTTTTCAGTGGTGTTAATAAGAATTTTCACTAGTGTCACTAGTATCTAGTGACTCTTACCAGAAACTAGAGTCTGACTAGAGTCAGAAAGAGCTGATTGAATGAAACTGAGGTTACTGAGCCCTAATCAACTTAAGACCAAAACGGGCTGATATCTGTTCACACAAAAACAACTTGTAGTGCTTTCCATAAGATTAAACTTCTTTGAAGTCATTATAATCTAATTTTGCACGACGAAGAAAGCATCCTGTATAAAATACTTTTAAAAAGCAAAGAACAATTCAACCATGAGTTTTTCTTTAATAGGGAGAACTTTAAAAGAGCAGAATGTCATGCCAATAGAGAATGCAAGTATTTAGAGAGTATTCATTCTGCGTTGCTAATCACTTGAACTCCTGCTTCTTTTTTTAATGAAGATGTCTGGAGGGAAACACACTGCTTGATGAACAAACGTTCCATATTATGAAACTGTAATTGCAGTGCCTGTCAATAAAGCCCATTGTTCTTTTCAGCATAGTAAGGCAGCAGAAAGCTATGGCAGTGCATTGCTACAATTGTGACTCCAATTTAGCATAACAATTAAGATTTTTTTGAGTGTACGGTCTATGTGTTTGTTAAATATCAGTATCAAACCTGAATGCAAGTAGCATTTTCACTGAGCTATGCAGCATGTATGCAGAACGTACCTACATATTTGCATTTCTTCCATTAACAGAACTTAAGGTACTTCTGTCTTCCGTGATCTACTTCTGTAAAACAATATTTCTTTTGAATGCTGGAAGTCTAAGCCAATAGTAAGCATTTACCAACTTAGACCGATCATTTGAACGTGTTTCAGATGCCTTACCTTCACATTGCATCTTTGCTGTAAATGTGTACTTTACACTCTGCACAACATTTGATATTTATTTTTAAATGGATCCAATTCTAATGTGTGAAGGGGTTATAAAAAATGATCCAGCGTTGTTATCCTGCAGATAAGCTGCCACTATGGCTGTGAGGAGTGTGAACAGAACTCGTTAGCATGTTGTCTTAAGCCAAATGATGCAGATTTTATTAACTACTTCATTAGCAGATGAAAAAGAGTAAATTGCAGAGATGATGGACTTTTCCTGCAGGAAAAGCAAAGCCAAGGATGCAAGGAGGGGAGCATTCAAGAGCAGGAAAAGAGAGTGAGGAAGAAAGAAACAGGAGGTAGAAGTGGTAACCAAAAGGAAAGTACATTTTTCCCATCATACGACTCAGAATAAAAAAGAAAGCACAATGATAAATGTTAATTTTTACTTTAAAGACTTACTTTATCTTTGATCCCTGTATAAATAAATCTTAATATCAATTTTTATATCTTTAAAATTATCAAAACTGTGAAACAGTTCACAGGAAAGAGAATTTCCAAGAGGAGTAGCCCCTCATATCAAAGTACTTGACTGCAGGGTCATCTCTTTTCTGTTCTGCTGTTTTGAAGAAAGAGTAGTTTGTAGATTCTACATCACTTACTTACAACTATTTCTGTGGGAATTCATCCCTTTTTCATCACCCCATCTATGTGATCGTGAGCATATTTTAAAAAGTATATTTGGGTTATGCAATGTTAACAGAACTGTATTAAATATTCAGACTTCTTTATGTCAAAAAGCATCTTACATTCCACAGCCTGAGATTTTGTTACGACTGGGAATATAGTCCTTAATGTTGGTTTTGTAAGGTTTTAAAGGCATAAGTCTAGATTCCCTGTCCTTCATCTCTTGAAAGAATAAGTTATTCTCAGAGCCTGTTAGGATTTCTACAACCACACACATGCACTAAATCGGATAAATTTTATGGCATTTTGATTGCAATGCATATTTCATTCTATAAATTGCTTTCCAAGATTATCAGCTGATATTCTCTATAAGGAAGGTCATGCAAGTGGGGGTTTTGTTGCCCTCCAATTTTTCACTGTACTTAAGAAGTTGAGTACAAGGACCAAAAAAGCCCTTCCTGTACTCAGGAATTTTCAAGGGAAGTTCACTTTTAAGCCGCTGTTGCTCAGGCAGTTCAGAGCTTTCTAGTCTTCCTGTCTCCTTTTTGAGTTGCAGTCATTAGTCACCTCGCACAAAGCTGTTAATGCAGAATATGTCCTTGCCTTTATGTTCAACAGGAAAACTTAACACAACCATGCTTGTCCCTCTTTTTGGCCCCACTAACATTACTCCATGAGGGTAGTTCAGCATTGAAAAGGAAGTGATTACTTTTAGATTGTAGTCTTGGTGGGTAGTCTTCAGCAAAATTTCAAGATTCGCTCCAGGGAAAGGAAGACAAAATGTACAGATTTAATACAGACATATTTCTCATGGGTACATCAGGGACTCAGCCCTGTTTTCTATCAGTGTATTGGTAAGTCCAGCTGAGACACAAATATAACTTCATTACTTGGACTGAGCTACACGATTTACTATCAGCAGAACATCTGTCATGTGGAGTTTTATCAATAAAACTCTAACAAGTTGTTTCTTTTTGAGGCAGGACGTATACCTTGGGTTTGACCACCCCAGTGATCCTCATTTTTATTAGTAAATTCAATAATATCTTTTCTTATTCACAATCTGTCAAGGAGAAAAATATATGAGACTGAGCTTCAGCTTTGTTTGAGAAGCTGTAAGAGCTCTTAGGCACTTATATATTTTTTAGCTGTGCATGCAAAGTACTTGACAGGCACTGATGCCAGAAAAGTAGATTGTATACATAATGCATCTCAATTCTTGTAGTGTTCATTGATTTGGAACAAATTTAATCTTCCAGTGACCTTTTTTTAAAAGAAATGTACTTTTGCTGACATTGCTCAGTACTGAGTCCCTCTAGAGTAAGTATGGGAAACTTTGCACCTGCAGTAACATCTTCACTATCTTTGCTGCTTGAAGTGCTGCTAATCTTACCTCCCTAGGCACGCAAAGGAAGCTGGAGAAGAAACTGGATTACCTGTTAATGCACTGTGATGGCAGGGTGTTTTGGAAAAAGGAAAAATTTATGAAAAACCGTGGAAAGGGGTTCAGAATAAATCAGCTACTTTCAAAAGGAAATAAAAGTACAACTTCAGGGAGCTCTAAAGAAAGAAAAAATGTATTGCAATATTTTTCAGCATTTATAATATCTTGAATCAGAACCCCCAAAAGCAGGTGCAGGCAAGTAGAAATTGATACAGAGGATTTTAGTGGCACTTTTGCAACCTCTGCCTTGGGTACCTGTAGGCATAAAAGTAAAAAAAAAAATTACATGATCTACAGAATGCGATTCATCAGGATCATTTTTATAAAGCTTTTTTTTTTAATGCTGTGAGGAGAAAGCTGGAGATCGTTGAGCTGAAAGATCATGGCTCAGCCTACATGGTAAATATAAAAATGTTTGGAATTCATTAGTGACCTTACTATGTATAAACATTGTCTTTGAACAGTTCTAGAACTTTAATATTTTAAAATCGCTGTTCTAATTTTCAATTGAAACTGAATTGCAAGTCACAAATAAAACGTTCTGTTGTGTCAAACAAAATATTACCTAAAAACTGCACAGAAAAAAAAGCCACTGTGCTGGTTGCTATAGCAGCAGAACCAAAAGCACCCGTAACAAAATGATCCCTAACCCAAACAAGTAGAAGAGCTTTGTTGAACGAAGTATATAGATTCTAGTCCATGGAAAGTGTTAGGTATGTGCTTCTTATCTTTCAACAAAATGGGTTTGAAACAAGGATGAGAAATATCAATCAAATCTTTCCTTTCATGGATGCACAAAAAATTTTTGGTATATATCATGAAGCATCATAGTATTAGGCAGACTTTTAAAAACAATACTTCAAGAAATTGTGGATTATGGTAGTGGTCTTTCTCCTCATCTTCATCTGCCACATTCCTGAGATGGTCAGTCACATGATTGTGGATTATGGTAGCCACATTCCTGAGATGGTCAGTCACATCTCACTGGAGTGTTGGATCCCATCTGTAGGAGATTGCATTGCATAATTCAGTAAGGATCCTTCCTCCACTCCTTGTCCTCATTTCAGCTCATCCCATACTCTCACGTCTGTAGAGCCGTGCTAAGCTTACATGTGTGGTATCTCTCCTTTGCCTCAGGACATGGCTGCGATATAATTATGTTGCTCATCATTAGTCTGAAGCACGACTTCAAAGTTAAAGTTGTGCTTAAGTGTTTTTCTGAGCTGGTACATTAGTTAGCGCTGGGCAGGTGAGTATTTATTTAGGTTCAAATGCTTACCTAAAAAAGTTATTTGAAGGAAAAATGCCTAGTCAGGTAGGCCTGTTTGGAGAGGTATGGGTGACATAAAAATTGTCATGTAAACGTTCCAAACACTTCAAGACCTTCCATTAAAAGATGGAAATGCAATGACGTTTCTGCAGTGATGAATAGCCTCAGAGCATCACTTCTCTTTCACCACTCTCCTGACTTTAGTTCTGCTGGGAGATGGTAGCTTTGAATAACATCAGCTTGGTTCTGGGAGTGTTAGCAAAATACAGAAAGATACTTAACTTTTAAGCAAATAAGATTGCAGTATAAGTTCCACATGAAATTGAATATATAAGCTTTTGCAACTGATAGGTTACCTAAAATCTGTGTTGAATATTTGATAGATTACATGTTGAATATGGTGATGGAAATTAAGTCTTAATTGGAGTAGTCAGTAATAACATTTTTATTATCTATTTCTTGTAGGTTGGAAATCTCCCAAATGACTATATGATAACCCTTAAATATGTCCCGAAGATGGATAGTCTGGTACGTAACCACTTCAAGTTAATGCTGATAAAACAGCCCACTGGAACCCATGGTGATCATAATATTCTGTACCCAGTTCTATGGCTTAGCAACTTGCAGTTAAAGAATAATTATTTTATTCTTATGATTAATATTCCTATGATTATATGAAGTAGGCATTCCAAGTATTAATTTAAAAGATAGAAATATAGAGAGATTCCTGCAGTCGCTTAAAATCTTGTTTTTTACAGGATTCTTGGAAAAAATTATTCTTCATATTTTTTAGCATTTTCTCTGGAAAAAGTCAAACTACGGTGTTGTTTCATCACGTCAGCTGAAAATTCTTGCTTACTTGAACAAGTAGTTTCTATCTAATTGTACTTTAGATATACTGTAGAATGTCTTTGTAGTTAAAGCTTGTGGAAATGACATTAAATGACAATATATGTGCAGTAGCCAATGAAGAGAAACCAGGTTCAGCAACCAATAGTACTGGTAACTAATCAAACTAGTAGAAAGTGAGGACGTTATTTGACTTCATTCAAACAAGCTCTATATTATTCTTTCTATGTAATCCCACAGTTCATATGTAGTCATGCTTTTAAATGTGTCCTGTGTTTTATTTAAAATTTTCTAACAATATGTATTTAAAACTTCATATTATCTTATTACTTATTCTGCTAAATATCTTTGAAATTGTCCTTAATTTTTTAAAAATGTTTTTAAGAATGATATGTTGCAAATGCTTTCTCAGTTGTTGCATACGCTGCAACAAAAAGAGAAAAGAAGAAAAAAGGGGAAAGTAGAAATTAGGCTGAACACTATACTGGCATTGATCTAAGGAAAGAAAAAGTAAGAAAAGTACTGGCTTGTCAATACAAGTGGATGATGTTGTGCCTGACTTAAGAATATAAACCGAATCATTTTGCACATACATCAGTAGTTAGAAATCATCCAGTAGATGTTAAAAGTTGTATTTGTATCTGTAGAAAGTTGTCATTATGAAAACCAAAATTATATTAGTATACATACAAAAATACTTCCCGTCCTACAACATTCTAGCAATTGTAGCAATATCCCCCCTTGATACTGGAGAATCATGCTAGAAGCAGCATTCTATCAATCCTGAATGAGCATGAAGAACATTGCTGGAGGAAAAGGAAGCTGTGGGAAAGTGAAGGGTACTGAAATACGAGGTTTCGAAGTATTGTGGCAAATCTAATAGTGTTCTTACGAGTTTTGTTGGAAGCTAGAAGCTTTTACTAAAACTTAGTGAAAGTTAGAGAATCCAGGTTAAACTTGATTCCTTAGGCAGGAAAGCTCAGAACCAACGCTATGGAAGTCTGTATTAGATCTGTGCTCTAGTCTGTACTATAACATAAATAAAACTAATGAAAATCTTAGATCTGTAAAAATAGCCATTGTCCAGAAAAAAAAGAAAGTAAAGCAGGCTGCCTTCGCCTTCTGTCTGCAGTGCTTTTTGAAATTCAGTGATTTTGAGCCCATATGTGATTTCTCTCTCAAGGAGAGTCGCTTCTCTCTCAAGGAGAATCGCATCCGTGGAGTACAGCTGCAGCCTGAATCGTGCTCCCTCAGTGAGGCATGCTGGCAGGCAAGGGCAGGACTTTGTCAGGACTGATGTCTCTGCTGCTCTCTTGAGGAATGTTTACACTTGAAATAAAGAAGGCCAGGGAGCCTGCCTGAGCAGTGGACTCATGATCATTCCCGCTACTTAACTCTTACCTTGCTCTGCAGTTCGGTTTTGGCTTCCAGTATAGTTTCTTTTTCTATAGTTTAAATGCCGTGTCATGTTGCTGCATCATATCCAGAAACTTAGATCCAGTTTACATTTACAATGGGCAGCCAAGAATTAAATAGGAAGAAAAGAAGTTGAGGGCAGGGATTTCCAAATTTGTTTTGCTTGTACACCACATTCAGTAGTGGTGATGGAAGGTGCAGCTCTTGGCCACATGCCTTCACAGGAGGAAGTATTCTGCAGTATTCATATCTCACTTTGCCAAATTCCTCTCCGGGGATTTCACATTGTGTTATGTATACCACAGCAAAGGCTGGCTGAATAAATAGATTTTGTCTGGGTTCTACAAGATCCGTACAAGCTAAGAAACCTGTGGCTTTGCGTAAGACGAGTTCAGTTCTAAAAGGATCAAAACAGTGCTCTGCAAGTTTTTTCAAAAGAATTCAGACTTCAGAGTGTGCATAAAGTGGGAACCGTACCCAAGGTAGCAAGTCTCAATCGTAGGTGGCTAAAGGTAGGGAGGCAGAGTGAATCCCAAGCAGATGGAAAGCCAGTGTAGTGCATGTAACAGGAACAGACTGACCCAATCCATTAAACGGAAAGGTTGTTGCATTATGCACTAGCTCGAGGCATCTGAGTGCCTTTAAAAGTAGATTCAGACCTAACTGTGTAGGTTAACCTCGAGGTTAAAAGGCAAAGATGACAGCAGCACGGGCTGCACTCTAACGGGAGGTAAACTATAAAATTTTAGATAAGTGTGGAAAGAAAAGGTTAAATAAGATTACCTAGGAAGACAGGGAAGTCAGGTTTGGAAGCACCTGAGCATGTACATCTCAGTCAAAACTGACACATAAATTTGCACAGAGCAGAGGTAAACTTTCATTTCTCCTTTGCAAACAATATCTCATTTGCCAGTTGTAACATATTTTCATCCCTATGTTTGGTAGGTATTGAGAAAGCAAGAAAGCGCACAGCTTGGCATTGCTGACAAGGAAACTGAAAGCTAATATGATCAGCTTTCTAGGTCAGAACAGTTCAGTCAGAGGAGACTCCCACACACATGCTAAATCGCAGGAGCAGCAAAATAGAATCCCTGCTGGAATCACCACATGCTCCTATTGCACGCTAGGAGAAGCAGCAAGCTTTTGCTAATCTGTGCCATAGTAAAACGCACACCCCCAAAACCTCAGAGAAAAAGGGTTTCCAGGTTTGCAATTCAGAAAAGCCCTGACGCTCTGTGGTGGCGTTCCTGCACCAAAGCAGAAGATTCGTTGTCTGTCTTGTCAGGGCAATGCGACATGGTACAGCGCATGTTGCTATAATGGAGTACATGTCAATAAGCTTTCCCTCATATATTTGCTTCTGCCTCTCCCCTCCTGTTGTTGAGCTTGAGGAAAGAAAAGGGGAGCAGAGAATCAAGCCAAATGTCATCCATTTCACATTTGGTTTTGTTCTTTTTTAAGTTATCGTTGAAATAGTTAGCAGAGGATATAATACTAAATTTCCATTTGTTAGTGGGTGTGTGAGAGGGTTATGCACAAAAGTGAAAGTTAAGGTAGAGCTAAACAATGTATTTACATTAAGTTCTCTGATCCTGGAAGCCAGATAGTCTTAGGAAGCATGAATGTTTCTTCTTCGTCAAAGACATTTACACATGAGGGCAGAACAACAGCTGTGTCACTGAGAAACTAATTCATCCTCAGGTGAGGATATAGATAGTAGAGAATAAGTTTTTTGAATAAAGAATTTATTCCATAAATTGAGTAAAATGCGAATAAGTCAATAAGTGGCTACAACACCAAATATTTCCAGTGTTCTGTGGAATATGAAGTTGATGTATTCTGTGGATGCTGTTGCTCTAAATGCCATGAAACATTGAGGGTGCATCTTCCTTAGGGGTTGCTGAGCCAAGATCTTAAAAGATGTTGGGTTTTAATGATCCTAAGACAGTTGAAAAGAGTGGAAAAAATGGCTTGATATTTGGAATAAATTCTAATGTTTCACTTATACTAGTACAATTTCATTTTTCCCATAACATTCACTCTTAAAAATGCAGTATTTATTGGGAAGGGATCTCCATGTGCATGCTAGAATGGTATATAAAAAATGATTAACACACTACCTGTAGTGCTTACCATAATGAGTTTATTTTTTTCTGGGGAGAGTGGGGTTTGGTGGCCTTTTTATTTACTTGACTACTATTATGTAAATCTAAGTAAAGTAAATTAATTACTTAAGGCAGCAAAATGGTTCAGGTTTCAATCCCATGAACAGCTGTACAAACTTTAACTGCAGTATAGTTGTACAGGTGTCAGTGAAAGGATTTGCATACTATTCCAATGGCACAGATGTGGCAGATATCATGACATGATGTCTAGAATCCTTTTGTCAGGCAAAAATCAGGAAAAGAACTTTCAGACCTAGGGACTATGTTCAGAAATGGCAGTTAGTGAAAACGCTGAAAAGAAAGAGTTAACTGAGCTAACTTTCTCAGAGATAGATAAAAGCACACATGGATTTCCACAGCAACACATTTACAAAATCATTTTTCAGAACAGATTTAAATCAAGGTTATTTTGTGTTAATTGAGTTATATAACGTAATAATAAAATGGAAATTGAGAGTAGTTTAAAGAAAATCTAGAGAACAATTGTTAGAACACTAGTTATTTAAAAACAAACAAACCAACAAAGTTAATGAAAGCATGGAATAAGGTTTATAGTAGTATATCCCAAGGTTCAAACGCTCAACAGACTGATGCTTAAGATTCATTAACAATTTAGTGAAGGGATAGTGTTTAACAAGCAAGCGTAAATACGTCAGTATCAGAGAGAATGGAGATTATGCCAAAAGGACTGAAGAGAAAGTTGGCCACATTGGAGAAGATGAGTTGTAATTTAGACAAATTCAAGATAATCCAAATTAGAAAGAACGGTCTAATCTACTTTTGCACATTTTGTTGCTTAACCTGTATTTGCATAAGTGTGATATTTAATATACCTTTCTGCTATTTTTATCCCCTGACAGCCTAATCACTGTTGGTTGCATTTGATGGTGCCTGAATTTTCAAGGAGTCTACATAATCTTCTCCAGAAATTTTCAGATATTTCAGATATGTCTGATGTTTTAAGCAACTACTCAATCATCAATAATCTCACAAGGATAATTAATGATCTTATGGCATGTCTAGCTTTTGATAAAAATAAGGTAATCTTCTGAAACAGAGTTTCTACTTTTATACTGGATATTTGTTTTTGAACTTTCTCTGGCATAGCCGTCAGTATTAATCTAAAAATGTCCAAGGCTTCGTTTCAGCTGTTCTTCATTTCTATTTCTTGCATTTGAAGTCCTACTTTGTTTAGAGATGCACTGAATACACTGTATCTCCTGTTTTAAAGGAAAATAGCTTACAAGGATTTGCAGTATATACAATGACCTATATAGAGTTATTTCAGTAGTCAAAAATGTAACTATCATCCTTAAGATCATTCATTCATTCTGGCCTGCTTCAAATAGACAGAAATCGTCCTTGTGCATCCAGCCTAAGTTAGTAATCTTGCTAGTAATCCTAATGTAAATTTGAATATGATGCATTCGAAGCTATTAATATACCCTTAATATGTATCACCATGTGTGAGCCTCAGAACACTTCACCATGGTTTAATGAACTTTTATATACAAAGACACAGCATAGACTAGAGAATGTCACTCGCCCCAGGTCCTTGTGTTTCCTTATGCCAACAGCAGCTGAAAGAGTTCCAGAAATCTCACTCTAGAGATGTCTAATTCTCTTGAGTGAAAATATGATGGAAAAAAATAACTTTTTAATCCCTTACCCACCTCTAGCCAATCTCTCAGTAATTAAATACCAGTTCTGTAGTTGAAGATTTTGTCCCACTGAAAAAAAAAAAAAACAGAAAAAAATCCACCATGTTCTATAGAGCTAGGATTTCATCCTCCATATACATTTATTTTTGCTCTGTTCTAGGTTGTTAACAAAGCTCATTTAATTGTTCCATTTTTACTTGCAGAGAAATAAACGCACAGAAAATCCAATGTCATTTGGTGTGGCATAAGCCAGTAACCTTGGCATTTATTAGCGTTATGTTGCTGAGATACGATTCTGTAATTAGATATTCCCTACTGTTCCATTTCAGAGTGAATCCTGTCCAATCTTGAATTTATCTGCTTTTTTTTTTTATTCTTGTCCTGATGAGTCAAGGCACTGACACTCAACTGGGTTGTTGTTGCGAAAGAGGAATTTAATTTTTACGACAGAGAATGAAGAAAGAAGGAAATATCCTGTAATTCAGAGAAGCAGCTACCTGTGTTTGTCCTCATAGGAGAAGCATAAACTTAGTTCTTCTACTTGCAACACTGAAAAGAAAATAATTTTGGAACCAAGCCCTAGGAAGTTTTTCTTGGTACACTTTTAACCCATGTGCTTACCGATGTCCTTACTGGGAGTAAAAAGTAATGCCAAGCCAAATCTGAACAGCTGGCATAAGAAACAGCTATTATGAAAGCCACCGTCAGGTAAAAAGGAAAGAGAAAAAACAATCAATGATCTTAACATGGACCTCAATCTTTTTGTTTAGTTTGGCATAACATACTATCCATTAGACCTCGGAGTGGGCTTCCTTGTTTATAGCCCTGCTTATTTTTAGGTACATTATCAGGGATCTCAGCCTGCTTCTCTGTAGCACTATATCCTAGCTATTGTATTCTGTTCCCTGTACTCTCATGATAATAGCTCTGATTGTGTTGTGTTCCTGTATTCAGATCAAAAGGATCATGGATAACATTACAGAATAGCATGAAATCAAGGTAATTTTTTTTTAATTAGGGAATTAAAATATCAAAATCTGTTCATTTTCAGCATAGAATGGGAACTACATTTCTTAGCTGTATACTTCTGTGGCAGCTTTACAACAATGGATTAATAACTTATTTCTATTTGCAAAGTTATTTTGAAATCTTTAGCTCAGAGTGTTTGTGTGTGTTTTTTTTAAGATTGTATATAGTAAAGTTGGTCTTCTCCAGGTTAAAAATTTAAACTTACTTGTATCATCCTTGGATATTTTATCATCTGTTGATGTGCTGAAATGAGCAACGCTCTTGACCTTCTTTCAAGTTGAATTCTATATTTTACCCTAGGATTTTATAAAAGAACATGGTCATCTTTATAAAGAAGGTCGCTTCATTCCTGAGGAATTTTTTAGGCACTTTAATAGTACCATTGAGGTCTATAAGGAGTTTGCAGACACGTTGGATCAAAATGACTGCATTCTGCCTTCGACAGTAGAAACACCAGAGAATGGTAAGATGGCTATTGCTTTTGTGAACAGAAACTAAGTAGATATAAATGGATGATTTTTCCTTTGATTTCAGAGATACTAAGGATCTGATGCTAGATCTCCATTTTATTGCCAGTTAAAATGACTACCAACACCAAAACTTTTATTTCTGTTCTAAGTAGTTTTATCTGGCAGTAAAACTAGTACCATCATTCCTAATGACATCGTTCCTTAATATAATCCAAAATAACTTCACAATACTCTGCTCTGTTTCTTTTCATCCCAAGTATATCCTGGATTGTCTTTTTACATTGCTCTTGTTCTTCATCCTATCTTCTGTTGATGCTTTATTTAGTTTTTATAAGGCAGTAAAGGAGCCTAAGATTGCACTACCTAAAGACTAAGGAGCTAGGATAAGTTGTAAATTGCAGCAGCATCAAGTCACCTCTGCATTTATCCCGCTCTCCTGAAAAGAACAATGTTTACTTGATTTTAAAAATTTAACAAGCTAAAGTCAGGCTTCTGTGGTTCATTGTCATCCTTCTAGTGAATGGAGGTTTTGTATTTTCTTTTACTCTCTCTAGGGACAACTACTAGGTTTTTTAATTAGGGCAACATATTCAGTTGCAGTCACACTAGTAATAACTAGAAGTAGATCAATGCCGTAGCCTAAGAACTTGTTTAAAGTAATTGCTCTTTCAGAATAGGCATTGAGTAGCAGCTCGGTGTGTGACACATCTGTCTATTAATCACATTGTCCTTTTTCAATTTGTCTCAATCCACTTTTAAAGCAGCCCTGTAGCCAGATCAGGATAGTCCTATAGCCCAGCATCTTATATAGAGGGAACTGTATTTTAAGTTACATAATGCTGACACACTCATTTTCTATTTAGATTCCAGAGTCGCTGTCACAAAAACATTTTTGTTTCCTCCTGTTGCTGCCAGCTCCCTTAGGAATGACAGCATTGGCAGTAACACTAACAGTAACAGTAAGTACAAGTCATTGAATTAATATATGTGTCTCCATTTTGTTCTGGTAGCTGATTATTATGAGAGTTAAGAGGAAAAGAATGTCTTAATTGTGCAAATTAATGGGAAGTTACTTATGCCTTATGGTAAACCATGTGTTTCTCAGCTGTTATACCAAAATGTAATGAACTTATCTAATCAAATTTTAGAGATGCCTTATATTTACAGTGGTACGATGGCTCTCTGCAACTTGAAGAGGTCAAATCTCTTCACTCTGCCTCACTGCTGTCATGAGGTCTCCCTAGTTGTATAACCTGGGCGAACGTGGCTATCCCAGACACTCATTTTAACTCTCCAAAGGGAAGCCATTGCAAACAAACACTGTAGATGTCCTGAACTGGGCCCAGAATACTCACAAGGGTGGATAGGTTGTCTCTACGTTGTATTTTGAGACTAGTCATGATCCCAAGCCTGACTCCAAACTTGAAGACAGTAGCTTGCTGTAGTAGCAGTAGGGCTAGCTCCACAGTCAGCGTGTTTTCAGTTGAGGTCAAGGATGTAGTTACTACGCTTTTGGCAGGCTGTAATCTTCTGTTTGGCTTGGTCATCTCTGTATTTCTCATCTCTCTTGATCAGTGTATTACATGACTGGCCAGTAACAGATAAGACAGCCTGGAGTTCTTGCTATTAGAGCCTCAGCATTACCTATCATGAGGTCAGAAGGGACATATGAATCTAATTTGAAGAGAAATAGCAAGGTATCTGGGTCTTGTCATGACAAAGTGTACAAGGAGGCAAATATTACCTGGAGCCTTCCTTGTGAGCAAAAGAAGTGGCTTTCCCTTAGTGATTCCTAAATGGTGCTTAGAGCTTATAATATTACTGTTTCCCTTGTTCTTTTTTCCCAGATGCATCAGGATGATAATGAACTTTATTTTTTCCATTTCCTCTCTTCATTTCACAAACCTCCTTGTTAGCTAAATGTGTGGCGTTTAAGCATGTGGTTGGTACTGCTTCTGCTTAAGAAACCGTAGGCACGGAGGCAGCCTGTTGGACCTGATATAAGGGCATGACAGAGGCTGCTAACAGTGAGACAGATATAAGAGGTTTCTTCTCCTGTGATATGATACCTGTTATCCACTAGTTAGTCTCTGGGTTTCTACCACCATGCACCTTCCCTGTTAGCTTGCTCACAACCATTGTCAGGTTTGAAGCCCTTCCTGATTACTTTCTAATTAAGAGGTTTTAAGTGATTGCTCCCCAGAATCCTCTGAGTATTAAGTCTGGAACGAAATCCATCTTCGACTCCTGGCTGCCAGCCTGCCTCTCTGGAAAAGACAAACCTCACTAGCATAAATTCCTAGCCAAGAGGTCACAGAGTTGGCTGCAAATAACCTGAAGAGCCCACAGCCAATTATGAGGCACCAGGAGGGGGCTAAAGAGTGCATGCCTGTCTCTCTCAGGTCTGAACATGTGATATTTTTTACTGCAGCTACTAGAGGAAGAATATTCAAATGCAGCCTGAAGCTATGGGAATGGATCAAGGAGCCAAAAGAATGAGATAGCTAAATTACAGGAGCAGTTCAAATGAAAAGAGTTTGACCCAGTACAGTAACCGGGAGGGACACCAGGCAGTGCAGCAGAGGCCAGGGCCCCCGGCCTCTAAAATAAGCACCTGTGCCAGTATACTGGGAATGGGAGGATAGAAGCAGATTTATTAACCTTGTCTTATAGCTGCAACTGATAATCAAGGAGGAGAAAAGCCTAATTAAAATAATGCAGTATGTCAAAGAAATTGCTTGGCTGACCATATGCTGTACAGGTGTGTTTTAACTGATTATCATTCTCTTAAGCAATGTATTGGAAAATTGGATACCAGTTAACAGCCTTATGTAGAAATGCCATGAGGACTGAATGTCTGGGGCTGGGGACAGTTTTAACTCATAATCAGCTTAAAATACATTAACTTGGGCTTTGGATGCTGACTAGTTACATTTTAGTAGTTAATTTGGATTTTTAGGGGTTGGGACATGTGACATCTTTATTCACATTTCTCTCTTACTCCCTGAGAATGGTCTTCAGTACTGGCTGCAGGTTTGCCGTGGCTTTATTGCCAAGAAAGTTTTCTTTTGGTGTTAATCCATGCCTTCTTGTGAAGGAACAGCGATGAATAATCCTTATTGCTTTTTGCATGAAGAGTCTCCAGCATAGGGGGACCCTATCTGCCTGCTTTGGTACTGGTCTCAGAGCAGCACCTCTACATTCAAATTTCAAAAGGAAAACATTTGGAAAAGAGGGGAAACATGAATATCAGAAAAAAAAAGCATCTCAACACACAAACTACTGGAATAATTTTATTTAAAAATATGACTGTCTTTACTAGCAAGCAGTTTTAAAATAAGCTATTTAAAATTAATAGTTTCTAGACTGTTTAGAAGCATTCACTGTTTACAGCTGTATTCTTCCAGATAAATAATAAATATTGAATCCATTAATAAAGTCTCTCTAGAGTCAGATGACTTAAACTGCTCTTAATGCTAAATTGCAGTTAGTAAAACCTGAAGTGTATCATCTAATAACATCACTTGTGAAATAATAGCTATCATAGGGATTGTGTATCATATAAATTAGCTATATTAACATTTTTTCATCTTGAAGCTACATTTATTTCAACAGCCATATCTCATGACTTCAGTGCATCATTATTACTCAATGATAAAATTGATATATTATAATAAAGCAGAACTCTGACAAAATCTACATCAAAAATCTTTCCCGAACTAAGTGTAAAATTGAACAATTGATCTCATTGTTTCTCTCGTTCTTTCTTTCTTTCTTTCTTTCTTTTCTTTCTTTCTTTTTTTTTCTTTTTGGAATGGCAGTAGCGCTTTTTTCATCCTTTTAATATTAATTGTAGATCTGTGGCATGTTCCCACTCCAGCTTTGCACCCATAGAATTATTTCTCCACCAACCCCCCCAATTTCTTTAGTCTGTTTTGTTTTTCCTTCTCTGTGCTGCATCACTCTAGTCCAATTTAAATTCCAAGTAACTGTTTAAATCTGAGTCCTGTTGGTACTTATCTGGAATCTTTATGCTATGCCTAGTCTAGACAATTTGAATGAGATGATTCCTATGTAAAGAAAAAGTGTCAGGATGAGAGATGTTGAGTTGTGATGATCTCTTCTTTCTGTGGTTGAACCAAACTGAATAAATGGTAGTCTTTTTCTTCCCGGTGAATGAATCTTGTGTTGCCCTGCCTAAAACTTGAACTCACTAGTTATTACTACCACTTCTCACTCGCCTTAGTGCAGTAGTATTTATATTTTCGTAGAAAGTTCAGTATCGCTTTCTTCCATTTATGCCCCTAATTTTCTCATAATAATTTGGCTTTATTCTTCAGTACTGAACAGTGCAAGAATACGTATGCTCTGTAAACAGAGATCTCTATAGTGTTGTAGGAAGAATGCTGACTTTTATAATTCAGCGAAGAATACCTTAGTGTAATTCTGTAATTGCACAACAATTTGAAAATATTAAGCCATGGCTTAATCCAATTGGTGTTACATTCTGTACCTTTGTTCCACCTTTATAGTTAATGGAAAACACTAACGAGCAGGTGAGAGCTGTTCTGCATTTGTATAGATAAAATCTTGTGTTGGAGCTGAGCTGAGGAAAAGTGAAAATTCCTTTGAGACGTATACGGCAATAAAATGTAGCCAGCGGTTTGAGTCGTAATTGCTTGCTAAACCTACACACGTGGCTCAAGGTGGAGATCAGCTCAATAACTTCATTGTTTAGCTGAGAGGCTTTCAGTGTCGATATATTGTATTCCCAGTTTAACATCCCAACGTCCGTGAAGATTATGCATAAAACTACTACAGATGAACTCACTTCCTGAGGGATTCTTCCGTATGCTGCAAAATGAGAGCTTCGTGCTGGCCTGCTTCTCTCCCCTTTAGCACCATGAGATAGGATCTCTTTCAAATAAAAAACATAAACTGCAAAGCCAGCAGTTCCTCTGGCATTGCCCAAGGACTTCACAAAGTTACCGATATATCTGATTCCTCCTATTCCTTCTCCTGCTCTGCCTTTACAACTGTTGGGAGTGGGAAATTGTGTGGAGCTCTAAAGTTTCCAATATAGGATAGAATTCCTATGGAATAAATAAAAGCCTGTTGACAATCTGCTTACTTTTCTTAATTGCCTTTTCTTCAGTAGGACACAGATCCCTGGAAGGTTCTTCAGACTGAAAATTCTCCAACCTATTCTGTTTTAGATGTTACTATAAATAAAAGGCACATGATAAAACTTGCCATGACTCGTTTAATTCTCTCCAGATCTTTCAAGACACTTAGTTCTGGACTTGAAAGTGAATCTAAATAATAAGTTGTCATTTGTTTTTTTAAGGTAGTTTTGGGGTGGTGATTTTCTTTCAAATTAACTTTCAAATTAACCCAAATACAATCAGATTATATAACAAAAGTCTGTTATTGTTTACTTTTTAAGATAACTTTGGGTGGTGGGTTTTTGTTTTCTTTTTTTAACTGTATTTAGGTTCTGTCTCTGGTTTCCAGGTCCCCACATGGAAAAATAATTGTATTTTCCTTTCAGATTTTCATAGATGCTAAAGAAAGTATCTACAGTTGAAGATAGCTGAAATCAGATTTTTTGACTATTAAATATCTCATTGTTAAGGAAGCTCTTCAGTTGTCCAAGACTCTTTAGTGTGTCAGAAATTGTAAAAATAAGGGTTCCTAACTTTCACTGGTCTCTCTGAATGCTTTGCATAACATTTTTCTAGAAGTTCACATAAAAATCAGCGTGCTTGCCATTGCATGCTGCCTGGCACTGCAAAGTAGACTGAGGGTTTTTGAGGTTGCTCACTGTACAATAACATGTTATCAAATGATTTTTATGGCCTATGCGACCTGAAGAGTTTTTCCTCTTCACCCTCTCCCCCCCCCCCCCACCACGCCCGCCCCTCCTTTTTCCCTGAAGTTTACAGGGCAGAATCCAGAAAACATGGCAATCCGTATAGTTAAGAGGACTTACATAATTCAGTTACAACAATTCAGTTGTATAACTGAGCAGGCTCACATTGGGAAATATGACTAATGTGATTAAGGCAAAGCAGTCTTGTATTTTTCTTGACTACAGTAGAGCAATATAGAACTTTTCTTCTGGGAATATGCTGCAAATATGGTTCAGATAAAGTAATGATAGGCACTTTTTGTTTAAGATATTTAGGACGGTTCTGTACCACTTAGATTTGGCCCAGATTTCTTGAAGTTCAGTTCTGCAAACAAACTTTCCCTATGCCTAGTCTAGGACAGGCAGTTCGATAAAGGATATGCCCCTCCAGTTATTTTCTGGTCTTAGTTTTAATGTCAGAGGAGACAAAATCAGACTGATCAATAGCGTCTCTATTCAGGTTCTTCTCTGTAAAACTTTTATCTACTGTCTTTCCCTCCTCAGTAGACAGTCAGATTTCTTACATGGTAAGCTAGCATCTGTTCTGCTTGACTGATGTTTCCTTTTACTCTGATAAGTGTATCGGGTGCAAGTAAAATTCAAGCTGCTGTAGACAGAGTCTATAATTTGTAAACAGTATGTTATATAAAAAATGGACTTTTTTTTTTAGTTCTGCCCACACTGACTCTAGAAACACAGCTTAATTTTGAAGATAAAAAGAACTTTTGTGTGTGAGCCGATAGCATGACAACCAGATAATCTCAGAGATGAAAATGAGTTGCTAGTTAAGAATGAGAAAGGTCTTTTTTAAACGAAAGTTTTTTCTTAGGGGCTTTTTAGTAATATACTGTATACACATTGATTGACCCAGTTTATCATACCATGCGTGCTTTGTTGTTTGCTCTTTGCATGAGTCACTTGCACAACAGTTTCCAGTGATGTCAGAGTCCATTTTCTTATTCTGTACCTAATCACCTACTTTTTTATGATGCTTATAATTTGAGGATTTTTTCCCTGTAATCTGATAATACACCTACTATTTGAGATGCAGTCACCACATCTCAAAACGAACTGAAACTAGATGGTTGGTGTCTAAACTAGCAGTCTCCTGTGGCTCACTTTGCATTTCAGAAGGTGGATCCTAGGGTGACTCCATAAGATTTTTCACATCCTGCCCTTGATTAAATAACTGGAAGGCCAAATTTTAGTCTCAGCATGCATACAGCTGCCTGTGAACAGAATGGAATAGCTTGTGTACATAAAAGGGAAGGATTTGGGCCCTTCTGTATAAAATGTAAAAAGCTATCAAGAAATAGTAGCAACCAAATAGCACACAGCCAGGCTTCTACTTACAAGGGTTTGATCTCACTGAAGTCAGCAGGGCCTTTCCAGGCAGGCATTAGAAGTGAAGTCAGGCTTATTTTGTTACATTAACCTCTCTTGAGAGGCCTTGTGTAGGTGGTTCACTAGCCTGAGTGTCCAGGCAAAGTGTCTATTTAAAATCAGTAGTGCCTTATGGCTCTTAAACAAATACAGGAAGTGGCTATTTAGAAGTGATGGATATATGCTCTTCTGAAGAATTACTTTTTTTTTTAAACACAATAACACCTTTCCAAATTGACAAATCTAACACATTGAAGAGAAGGAAAGAGAAAATGCTCTACAAATGACAAAGAAGTAGTACTGAAACTGTGCAACACGGTTCTTTCAGGAATGGGAAGAACATCCTTGCAGTGCAAAGGCCTCAGAAAAGTTCCTGTGAGATTTTGTCCTGAAATGCACCTCATGTATACAGCACTTTGAAGTATCTCTTTTGCTATTTAAGATGCTCTGATGTAGGTGGTGCATAAACACGCTGTTGCTAACAATGTTACCCTGAAGATAGTATTCTGGCATAAATCTGTCTTCACTAACGAGAACATCTGTAATTACAGAAGAAGCACTTGGCTTTATTAGCAGCTCCAGCCTGCAAGGGATCAGCATAGCACTGACATCACTGCTGTCTCTTCTTATTGGCTTTATTTTGGGAGCCATATACTGGAAGGTAAGAAATACTACATTTAATTGTTTACATAGTGATGCGTATTAAATTTCATGCCCTTGGAGGCAGGGAAAACAGCACAGTTCTGCATCTCAACACAGGCACCTCTTTTGATCTCCACTGAATTATGTGACATGTAAATGCGAATCTCTTGTCATACTCTTGAATTCCACCACCAAACTGTAAATCCTGTCCTATGAATATGCTAGCTATATGGTTCCTAACTGGAAATTAAAAACGCATGGTTCCCCTAATTTCCCAGGTTTCCTGTCATATCTTGAGAAGCAGATTCTGTTGCTTTTACCCATTGTGGCTGTATCTACAGTGCAAAGGCTTTAACTGTAAAACTGTATCAGTAAGAGACGTGTTTTAGAGGGCTGGATTTAGCCTATATTTTGCAAGGTGATTTTGATATTGAAAATTTGAAACAAAACTGGAATATACACCAATTGTTTTTGGAGTTTTAAAAAGAAAGCTTTAGAATGTTTATATTTAACTCATTTTCTTCCTAGAAAACACATCCGAAATCCAGAGCAGAAAGTGATGAAACTACACAGTGTAATGACTGTCAAGAGGAAAATGAGATAAGGTATTTTGTTTCACTTTACACAGTTATATACAAATGTAAGTTTATCTTTGAGAGTTGCTTTCTGCAAGTCTTACTCTCATGCTCTCAAAAAGATAAACACAAAAATACCCCAAACACCGTATGCAGGGTTTTGCCGTAGAGGCACAATATGTGTTTACAACTTGTTCCTTAAAGAAGCTTCTATTCTAAATATAAGAGTTGGTGTGGAGGAGATTTCCATATACACAGTTTTATTAAGAGGACATTACCTTTCTCTTACCTGTCCTCACTTCCAAAAATCAGCAAAAGGAGTAGTGCTGAAAAGCAGTAGTTTCAAAGGAGTATCTTAGCAGAGAAATGAAGCCAACCCAGGATAGCTGAGACCTATAGGGGAAGCAACAAAAAGAAGTGGATTTTGTCATTTGCCGTATGATACCAAGCTGGATTCGTATTACATGAATAAACAGAAATAAGTCTCTTGGCTGTGCTCCCAAATCCTTTTAAATTTATTTTACATGAACTTTTCAGAGGTTCTTTCACTTCTTGATGCTCCCCTGGATGTATGCGTATAAGGATCTGTTCTTTCCAGTTTAATGTTCACAGAAAGTTGATGAGGATACATTCAAACCCTAGTAACTTCATAAGGTCATCCTGAAATGGTTTGCTGCTTTCTTTACATTTAAAGATTGTTTTGTCTAATTTTAAGCAGAAATAACTCTCTATTACTCAGTTGATCAAATATACCTTAGAAATAATAGTTGAAGACATTCCAAGTTGCATTATGACATGACCTAGAACAAGAAGTTTGCAAAATCCAGAAGAGGACTTAGGAATATTCTAACTTAGAACAGCTCATGCTAAAATGTTTGGGAGTAATATTTAATTTCATTTTTCAGGGTCTTTAATCAATTTTTAACTGTGAGGGATTAGGTGAAGGTCTAATGCACATGGCAGAGGTACATACCTTATACTGTAGGCTCATCATATTTTTGGATGAGGTGTCTCATGTTGCCCACTGTTGAAGACAGGAACAGACAAGGTTCTGAACTAGCAAGTTCCCAAGCTTAGCAATTTTGGATGGATGGGCTGAAGTTTCCTGTGTTCAAACTTTCTAGAATAATACATTCATAAAATACATTTTCTTCATGGGCAGTTCATAAAAAGAAAGACTACAAATAACTCATCCTGCTTTAATTTTAAAACCTGTGAAACTGGACATGCATCATTCTTTTAACTTCAAAGGAAATATAAAACTTTACTTTATATGAGGAATGCTTTATATGTTTTTATTGTAACTAACTGCTAAAGTATTATGTTCTATTTCCTCAAAAACGTTAGCATTGTAGTAATAAAGTACCTATTTTTTTTAAATTTCAGTATGTTGCAGCAAAAAGAAAAAGACCATCTACAAGTGTAGCTGTTACTTTTTCTCCCTCAACACTGTTACTGTTTCATGTACTGGTAAGCTCTTGTGCTTCAGAATCCTACCATAGGCTTCATAACTTTTGTCCACTGAAACGTAAAGTGATTTGGAGTCCATTTAGGGAGAAAGGAAACAAGTGGACTTAGATTACACCTAAGATCTTTAGCTACTAATGTAATTAATCCTGTATCATGAATTTAGGCATCTGAATTTTAACCTGAATGTTACAAAGTGAAATATGCCAGTATTCCAAAATGAGCGACAGCTATTGCTTCTCCTTTTTGGCATGGCAGCCAATACTGGGAATTCTTCAGCTGTTGTCCTGTAGCTGTTTCAAAGCAGTGTGACCTGCAAAATAGATTCTAAAAATAACAGGTGAGTGTAGGAGAACAGGCCAAGTAAAAAGCTTCCCCCAGGACCACAATATTTACAGAAGGATGAGCTGACCTTCTGTTAATTGTTGTTTACTCAGCACAGTTTGCAGCCTTCACAGCCTTATCAGATTCATCATTCTTGCTTTTGTATATACTAGTGAGCTGCTAATGCGTGTGAGCTTTCTCATTCCCAGTGTGTCTGTACAAAGGGCGCTCTTCCCTGCAAGGGACTTCTTCCATCAGGAATAATGCTGTATTTAACCTAGGAAATCTTTGACAAACGTCTGGCAGATTTGGGCAGTGCTGGATGCTTCCTTTTATCTCAGGAGCCAGAAGAGTAAATGTAAGACTATAACAGGCAGTCTAGGTTTTACAGTTTATCCTGTAGGGATCACTTTCAGGTGTCTTTCAAAGTGTTCGTGGTGATCATTTTGGCCACTATGAGTCTACCTAATACTTTATTCTAAGTGAGAAGGCATCTGCTCACTAAGAAGGAAATCATCACTGTGTTGGACAAGCGGTTTTGCTCTCAAAAAGACATAAACTGAATTTGTTGCTGGCTTATCCAGATGACTGTAAAAGGAAGTTTATTGCAAAGATTGCCAGATACTAAAAAAGAACAAATGTAACAGTTCAGTAACACCGCATGAGTATAGTCTCCTCACCATCATCTAGGTAACATCAGTGGGCTCCTGCAGGCAAGTGCATTTCAGACCGAGGTTGGGAAGTGGCATGAAACTGAAAGGGAGTCACATAATAATTTTGGTTTCTGAATAAAGGAATGCCTGTGCGAGTGACACGGAACATTTTCGTTTCCAAAACTGTAAGAAAAAAATGTCTTTGTCTTTTTAAAAGTTGTACTCTTTGGGAATGAGGAGAGGAAAACTAATCAGCAGAATTATGATTTCCTTTTTTCTCTCCAAGCAGGTAACAGTTCCATGTTCGCTTCATAAATGAAGCAGCTTTAAGCGCATTCGTATTCCTTCTGGAGTGACAGACTGAGTCTGCATCTGTTGTTGCTGCCCATGACTCCATAGACGTGCTATAGAAATGAGGACAATTTATGTTTGTTACTGTGAAACCAACACTGAATTGAACAACATTGAGAAAAGTGTGCACTGAGCAGGACTCTATTTTATGTGAATATGTACCTTGTGTGGCATTTGGGGATTTTTATTTACATTAATACTTGCAGCTGATTCTGACAAACAAAGTCCTGAACAAAAAGCATCTTTCAAATGCCTCCAACTATGTATAATCATTGAAAGTCGTAAATATGTGTGCATCCTTAATTTAAATTCTGTGTCCTCTTCCTTACCTTGGTGTCTTCAAATGGAGTTCTCTGAACTGACAGAAAACGCAGAAATGGATACAGATAAAATGCTCTTCAATTTTGTATATACAACTTGAAAGTAAAGTCAAGCCATGGACGAGTGTACTAGCCTTTTACTTATAAGGAACTGGGTTTATGTCTGGCAAAGGTCTCGTGTACGGCAACATGTGGTCTCTGTCGGGTGCCAGGTGGCTGTGTGCCCACCCCAGAAAGCTTCAAGAATTCATCAAGGTTGATGGTTTCTGTTCAGGAGGAGCAATACTGGATGAAGAAAAAGTAAACAGGAGGCGATAGTACAGTGTGGAGCTTTCAAGAATTAGGAGTAACTGCTGGGTATGTGAACACTGGTGAAATCTCCGGCTACGGAAAGGGAAGGGAGAGTAAAGAGTCTGAGTTGCGTTCAAACATCAGAATAAAAGCAAACCCATGAAATGCATATGAAATTCTGAAGATGCATGCCATTGATATCTTGTCTTTACATATATAGCATAGAAAATTTGAAAGATCCTGGAGGTGTATTTAGCTGTTGCATACATCAGCTATAATTAATGTTTGCATTGTGTTTTAAATAATAAATAAGCTTTAATATCCTGGCATTCTCCACTTTTAAGGTTAATTGTCTTGAAATAGAAGAGAACAGCTTTATTTCCCCCTTGTTTTCTGCCTCCTTTGCTGTTATTTCGTACATGGAATATGTACAGGATTGATGTGCAGACATGCATTTTCAAGTAAACCTTAGAAATACCATGGTAGAAATTTCAAGTGCACTTGTGCATCTTTTTGTCCTGTCTCTTTCCAGATAATAGATAAGAATCATTTATCTATCTTAGGAGTTTGTACTTCAGAATGTAGAGGTCACTCACCTCAAATGACAAACTGTCTAACAGCCAGTAACTAGGTCAGTAAGAGTTTTAATTTAAGTAACTTAAAAAAAAAAAAACTCTTTTAATGTTTTTCATAAAGTTGAATTTATCTTTAAAGTATGTAATTACTTAATTTTTTAAGAATTCTTGTGGATGCTTTAATCATCTGCAAAATTTTCTGGGAACCAAATGTCAAAACAGTATGACATACATATATATGTATGTGTATTACTGGTAAAACTGATCTGTCTTTCCTACGACCAAAAAGAAAACTCCTCAAAACCTTACAAAGTTTGATGACAGAATTTATGTGTGTGTATAGCCACTTTGCATAGAATTTTGGCCCCAGTGAAATCAATGGCAAAACTTCTTTTGACTTCACTGAGACCAGGATTTGATGATGTGGATCTAGTTTTCATTTATACTAAGGCCATTTTGCACTGCTAGAGTGTCATAAAAGGGTCCTCAAGTCCTTTTCAGCCAGTGTAAATTAGCATAGTTCCATTAATGTTAGCAGAGCTCTGGGGTTTGCAACATCTGAGGGCCTTCTCTTAGACTGTATCAAAAGATGTTTAGTGTGAGAATTCGGCTTTCATTTTTATTCAGAAGATGCTGGGGCACTCACCACTTAATGAGAAAGAAAAAGGTGCTCAGCACTTCTGTAAAGCAAGTGCATTGCAAGTTTCAGCTCTGCAAAAATCAAACAACAGTGTTGCATCTGCAGCTCAGTCTTACATGCCAACGTATAGTTCTTTACGCGCTAGGTCTGCAGACTCTATGTTTCAAACCTATTTAAGAGTTACCCTGAAGGAAATGTCAGCCTGACGTAATATTTGATAGGAAATTTGCACCTTACTGGTAATGTAGAGAATAGCTGCCTACAGGTTTTGACAGACAGGAAATGTAGCCATAGTAAATGGAAGCAATTATCCTTACCCATTTTACAAAAACATTAAATATTTCATGTTACTGTGTGGTATGTTCTCAAATCAGTTTTATGCATTTGAAATCTTACAGCATTCTCCGTAGATTCAGTTAAACAAAACATCTAGCATTTATTGATATTCTTTGTTCATAAGAATGTTAGTTTTCCTAAATACGTATTTTCCAGAAAATCAAATATACAATAGCATTGCACATTGGTGTGCCTCAAATTATACTTTGACATTCAAAATGCATGGTGTTTTAGACTCCTTAGTATACAGTCTACTGTTTGATGAGAAAAGATAAGATATTATGTAAATTGAAATATACTAACCACCACATGAAGTAATACCACACCTAATCAGCTTAGCAGAACTGTTCTGACAGCTTGTGGTTTTCCTGTGTTTCCCACCCCCTTCGGATTTGAACAAAATAGTTCAAAACAGAAGGACACATTCAGACATTTCTGAATACAATAGATTGCATGGCACTTGGAATTGTAATTATGAAATTATTGGAACGTTTCTGTGCCCAATTTGTGCCCAATTTGTCTACCCACTGCAGAGGCCTTTACTTCAGATATAGTAAAATTTTGAAAGACTACTGACTTGTGAGACACCTTTGAAATCAATGGAAATAGATTAAGTTACTTTTCTATGTGAGCCGCAGTGGCGGCAGGAATAGTCCCTTAATTGCTTCTTTATCCAGTTTTAAGCTATTTGATTTCTGAAGATAGATTCAGATAGATTGATAGATTTTTAAATCTGCATCATCACGATTAGAAAATGAGCGTCCTTTATCTTTAAATAAAATTGGAGAAAGCACGTGAGGCATTTTGTTTCCATGAAAGTCAACCAAACTTGGGGTTCAGATGTCTGTGGTTTTGTGAGAAACTAACATTTTTAAGTTTCCTTTGGAGTAGTTGAACTTTGCATGCAATTAATAGAGGCCTTGTGAGAAAAAAAAGCAGACAGTGATATACTGAGTAGCTCATTGTGCTATTTTAGATGTGTATTTACTTGAATAAATTAATGGTACTTATTTCATCACAAGGTCATTTTATAAGTAAGCTTATAAACAACTAATGTGCTATACTATGGAGTATGTGTACAACCTGCACATTTTTTAGATTCTGATCTTCACCAGCTCTGTTTTCTCTGTTGCTGTCTCTTTGTAATACGCTGACACTGTTCAGTACACACAATACAAGTATTACATTGAAAAGCTAACCATATATAAAATACAGATATTTTGAGTTAGATTAATATTTAAGAATTAACCAACCAATTCTACAATTCAGAAATTTGATTCAACTCTCTGTTAAATACAGACCTACAGTAATGGTGGCATGTTACTATTATGTTATCAAATTGATGGAACGCGGAAGCTTCAGACTCTTTAGTGATAGAGACACAGACTTTTGCTGGTTGCATCATGGGCAAATTCATTTATTTTGATGTAAATGTCAGCACAGTCTTACATAGTTACATTCTGACTGAAGGTAATCAACAAAGTTTATTAAATGTGATGTGTATGTATATATGTGTCCTCTTAAAGATAGATGTTTTCCTTGATCCTTTTTTATACCAGTTCAAATTTGGAATTTACATTATATACATATACTTTATTGTTCTAAATAAAGATATTATGCACTGCCAGATAATGAATATGTTGCTTTTTTTTCAGTCCTGTTTATGACCTTTTTAAAGTCCTGTCATCTCCCTGAGGAGTGTTCTGCCAAAATGCATGCTTCTAGGTGCAGATACCTTCATGATATGTTTCATTTCTTAATCATGCATTTTAAAGTTTTGTGCCATGAAAGTATGTCTCCATTATCAGACACCAGTGCTGATCCATAGTGTATTTGTGATTTTGGGAATTATTCCAATTTATGAATTACAAGTTGCTTGTAGCTCCTTAATGAGCTTAAAATTGTTTAGGCCATGCTTTAGGCAGTCTTTCTCATCCCATTCTTTCTATCAGACAAATGCTAGTATTTTATTTTAATTTATCACTAAAATGTCTGAACGTTATCGATGAACTTCGCTGGAGATATTCAAAACCCGTCTGGATGTGATCCTGGGCAATATGCTCTAGAGGTCCCTGCTTGAGCAGGGAGGTTGGACTAGATGATCTCCAGAGGTCCCTTCCAACCTCAACCATTCTGTGATTCTGTGATTCTGTGAACTTCTTTTGCAATAGGTGTCAGTTGTTGACTAAAAAATTTTGTTACAAATAATAGGGTTTCAGCCAAGACCAAAGCTTATCAGTTTTGAGGAGGGCATCCTGCCTTCCAGGTTTCAGCAGTTTAGCATGACTTTTCAGGAAGCGTCTCCTGCTTTCCCTGCTTTCAGCCCACCTGGGAGGGAGGTGAAGACCCCTGGATGAAAGAGCAGTGAAGCTGTGGGAAGCAAACGCAGTGGGCTTTGTGAACAGTGCAAACTGATGAGGAGTGGAGAGCCTGGGAGGCAAGGAACAGGATTTGGGGAGGGCGGAACTGATGGCATGAACAAGACAAACCACGGTGGTTGATGTGGACAAGGTGTTAGGTCCAGAGCTGATGGACCTGGGGGAGGCATGGAGCGAGCGAAGGGCAGTCAGGCTCTGCACCGGTGCTGAGGCAGGAGTCACGAGCCCAGGTGGCACCACTGGGGTGGCTGGGCTGGAGGCAAGCCAGGCACTTGGATCGACTAGGGCTGGGTGAGCACGGAGTAGCTGCCAAGGTTTGGAGATGAGCCTGCTTCAGCAGAAAGCAGAACTGATGTGAGAACAGGGAAGTAGAGTTGACTTACTTAGAAGTCAGGGAAGGCAAAAGTAACGGCAGGGTGTGTGGGAATGAGATGTGAGAGCTTTCAGATAGCAAAATGGTCCCAATCAGCTCTCAGTAAAGCCAGGAGCATGGTAATGCTAATATACACAGAGAGGGGCGAGGGTAAGAAAGTTAAAACTGAGAAAACAGATCTAACTCCTTACCTAAAGAGACACCACCATAATATTTTTTGTGGGCTGACTTACATTTTTTGACTTCATGCCTCAAGTAATGCTGAGTAACTCTTCCCACCTGCCAAATACTTAATCTGAACTCTGAAGCCTAAAATTTATTAAATTGAGAGAAGTATTTACCCTCAGTTCTCCAATTTCAGTGTCTCCAAAACAATGAGTATAAACATTTTATTCAGTGGATGAAAGCAAAGGAAATCTCTGCCCCAGACATGGAGAGCATTGATAAAGACATTTTCCTACTTCTATCAATCAGAAAAACAATGCTTATTTTTATAACCTACTGTTTCTTGATATCAATACATTTGAGCAGCTTAACACTTCTGTGAAATTACAGTAATTTAAATCAGCTGGATATGTGCCCAGTGACTCCAACATAATTTTATTCCATGTTAACAAATACACATTACTAAACATATTTTTGCCCAAAGTTTCTGAATGGTAGCACATAAGATTTTTTTTTTTGTTGTTTTAATGAGATGGGTTATTTCCG